GGGAGAAAAGAGGTAAAATTGAAAGGAATAAAATATGGAGTCAAAAAGATGGGGGCTTTAAAAAAAAAAAAAAAAAAAAAGGCATCAAGGGGAGGGGAGGGAGGAGAAAGACAAAGCCAAGAGGTACAGATATCCATTTTGGGAAAGTAGCACCAAAAACATTAATGCCTGTTTTTAACACTTCCCAAAATTTACTCAGTTTATTCAAAATGCATGTCCCCTCAAAAACAGCATCAAACACAAGATTCAATACAACTAAAAAAAAATACAAGTGTAACCACGGTGCTGTTGTCTAAGATCAGCCGTCAAAACCTTCTGCTGTACCTCAGATTCAGGAATCATGCCCAAACACAACGGCCTAAATAAACCCCCCCATAGCTTATCCAACTTCATCGAGTGGGCTCAACTGACTTGAAACTGCAACTGCCCGTGCTGAGACAGGCTTCGGTTGAACTAACGATTTAATACAGTTGGGATAACGTAGCATACTGACTGACCTCAGAAACAACTAGACCAAAGACACTCCTACTGCGGCGAGTCCCACATCGGTCCAACACAGTCTTTATATGTTCACATGAAGAGAGGGGTCCAGGGGAGGTGGAGAATAACGTTTGGGTAAGACAGTGAGTTTGAAAAAAAAAACCCCTCATGACGGGGGAGATATGGCTGAGTCTAGGATGAGCAGGAGTGTAGAAGAAGAGTCATCGCTCTGTTAGTGTCTGAATGTGTGAACGAGGGATGAGAAGGGATGTGGGGCACGGGGGGCTGGGGATGTCCTGCATCTTTCGAAAACTTGACACTGTCTTCTGGCACAGAATGCTCTGTCCCTTCAATTCCTCCGACTTATCTGTGAAAACAGAGCTCCAGCGTCGACTGTATCACAAAATCTGTCAGAGGAAAAAGGAAGAAATGTTAATCTCAAACACAGCGTAAGTCAGTTAAACTTTATTGGCCAATAGTTGCATTGAAAATACAATTTTCAGGAAATTAAATTAATTAAAACTTCAATTAATAATCCAGGTTTATTGCTTTTATCACTGAACTTCACCAGCGTTTATTTGGGACAGTTGTCTATATGGGACGGAGAGGGACACAGTGTTGCGTCGCTCATTTCTTGACACCCAGGGATCACAGCACCCAGCATACCAGCACAAAACCTCTGTTAAATGTTTAATTCTTTTTATCGGAGGACTCTTACGGACTCAAGGAATATAAATAATTCAGGAATGAGCACATATTCGGACCTAAGGACCGCTTCACAAGATAGGGTGACTTCTTTTTAATCTTTCGTTTCCCATGTTGATAAATCTGAAATAATTACATAATATGACTGAACTGTGGAGACTAACCGAGCTAACGATGTGTAGCATCTCCATATTGACAAAAAGTTTAAACATGTAAATTTGTATGAGCTGGGGATGCACAATAATATCGACCAACATGCTGATCATTTTGGTACATTATCGGTATCAGACAATATTGGCTTTAAAATTAATTAATCACAGCTTGACTGCACAGGATGGGTGTTTGTGACTGCCATCAAAGTACTTTATATCATATGGTATGGACCTGTCCTAAGATTGAGACCTTCTGGGATAATTTTACGCAATCCCTGGGAAAGATTATTGGCCACACTGTTCACTGTGACCCAGCATTGTCTCTTTTGAGTTAGACTGTTAAGAGACTGCTGGTGAGCCATCACAAGAGTATGCATGCATAATATGATGTTAATTCCACTACAGAAGAGACGTAGTGATCACTAAAATTAGGTAGGGAAAAAAGTAGATATATCAATACCTGTATTGCCCAAATGAGTTGATGCATATTGGCATATCGGCAAAAAATCCAATATCATGCATCCCTAGTATGAGCAATCCAAGCAGCTATCTAATTTTAGTTCAAGTGGGTAGCTGCATCCCAGTGGGCTTTAAGAGGTTTTATACATCCAAAAGATCTATAAAAATGAACTGCTTAACAGCATCAATGCCAACAAGACCCTGCATCTAACTGAGGCCTGCGTTTATTCGTCAAAATGTGTAGCAACTCCTGGCTTGTAAAATGGACTCAGTGTATAATTGGGGCTTGGCTTTAGTTGAAGTTCTACAGAAGGCGAAAGATAACTACCTCTGGATAAGTCTGGGCAGGTAACTGAGGGGAGGGGCTGTGGCTGAGGGGACAGGTTTTCTTTGACTCCGAGACCTCCAGTGACCTTTCTCTTGCCCCTTCCCCGCTGCCACCTCTGTGGCTCTTCCTCTTCCTTTTGGAGTCCTTGGCTCGTCCACGACTGGTTCGCCTCTGCTCTTCAAGCTCAATCTGAGAGAGAGGGTGAGGACAAGAATATGAGAGGAAGCAGCTCACAATAGAGAGACCTTACTAAAAATGTAACAAGGCAACAAACACAGCAAAACACTGTCCTTTATCCTCCTTTAAAACGTGCTAGAT